TTGTCATTTTTATGATTGCAAAGAAGACACTCCACTAGAGAAGACAGTGGAATAAGTGTGGGAGGAAGTGAGGAAAGTGTGTCAGTAAAAGAATGTCTACTTTGGAGAGCTGTGTTGTCAGTGTGAAATGTGTTATGGAAAAAATTTCTGAATGTATTTTTTAGGAAATGATAACCATGTGCCAATGAAAATTAGAATTTTACTTGATTTTTTTCAAAAATGTTATTTACAATTTTTAAATTTTATGGTACAGTTTCATAGAGCCTGGGATTCCTCCCCCCACCAAATCCCATCCCCTGACTGGTTTTCCCCATATTATTACACTAGTACAGTCCTTCATAAGGAGTCTTAATTCCATCAGTCTGTCATTTAAGTGTGCCCCGAAATTGCTGGCACAGGCAATGTCAGTCCAGCATCCCATTGTCTACACATTTCCAACAGTTTCATTTGGAGTCCATCTTTGATTTGGAAGCAGGGGTGCATATTGCATTGTATCCCCACCTTTGGATATGGTAGTCTGTTATTCCATCACTATCCATTCCCTTAAATGAAAAGTCACTCACTTTAAATGCAATTCACTCACTTTGAGACCAAATTAGATATAACATAAATTTAACTCATTATATGTAATGGCATTGAATATGAGCCATTTTATTTAGATGTTGGTTCAAAGAGCTTCTCTCTGGTTTCCAGCATCTACAACTTTTTATCCTGAAACCACTGACCTTAATTTTTGCTTTCCTCCTCTCTACCTTTGCCCACTTCTTTTTACTTCCAACTCTTCTCTCCATCCCAATCTGCTGGTAAGCAGGTTCTTCTTGAAGAAAGATTGTGCTTGGCATGTACATTTATACAAACTTTTGTTCTCTACTTCATGCATGTATGGTTTTCAAATTTTTAGCCAAGGAATTCTTTCCTGCAAATAAAATATTTTAAGAGTTCAAATATGTAAAACAGTTAAGGTCTGAGCTAATCTGATTGAAAGAAGGAAGAGCCTCCAAGGCACATGAAATTAATGAAGTGCAAATTTCAAATCACTGTCTTAGCCTGCATTTGATTCATGGTTTTATTTCTCTTGTGGTATTTCTGTTGTAAACTTTGTCTCTCAGAATGCAGTACAAATCTTTTTCTGTTTTAAGGGACATTTATATATTAGTGAGCTGGCAACAGGACACTGGTGGTTTGTGTTGGCCTCTGCCCTAGCGTATTTTATTGAATGTCACAGAATTTGTTAGTTTTTCTGACAGTGTATCTTTAAGCACTTGGAAAACAGGGATGGTGGGTGTCTCATTTACTTTGGTACATGTAGCATCAAAGCAACATTAGCATTCAGTAGGTACTCAATGAATGTGTGCTCAATCCAGTTCCATCATGCCGGAAGAAGGGCCTTATTGACACCTGTGAAGTCAGACACCCAGATGTCGAGGCATTTACTGTGATTAGAGATGCAAGGATGGCCTTGGCCATGTGGCCATACGTGTTTGTTCAGAATTATCTTCTTAGTTTCTATCAAAGTTCTCGGAAGAATGCAGTCTTTTATTGGGACCGATGGGAACCCTCTTAAGTCTGGCCAGTCATGTTTGTTATGCTTATGGAGAACACATGTTTGTGAGCCCCTCGGTCTTTTTGGATGCACAAAAGACTTGTTCCACGACTATAATCAGGAGATGGCTCATTGCCTGTCACAGTTTCCAAAGCAAGTTTTTCTTTTGGTATAATCTTAGACTTGCTGGAGAAACTACACAGAATCTCTGAAACAGAAAGAGAAACCCGTAGACTTATGAACCATTATTACATGAGCATTAAATGAAGGATCTTGGAATAATACATACACTTAAATATGTACTTTAGTTTAGTGAAAACCGTTGGGGTTATAGGTGCTCATATTTTCTTTCCCCATGGAAATGTTAATATTTGAACTCATGTTTTATGTAACTTTAATATGACCATTTCAACCTCTTCATGAACTTTATTATGAAAAATTTGTTATTGCTTATAATGATTTATTATTGCTTTGGGGATTTAGTAAATTGAAAAATTTCAAGTATCAAGAATTTTATTATCTGTGAAACTATTTAATTAAGGTTGGATAAAAAACAGCAATAAGATTATTAATTCCGACTAAATTGGAAAGTGGTGTTGTTTTTATGCTATTGCATATCTGAGCATTGACTGATGAAACTGATTGTATAAATACTATTGGGGAAAGCTTTAGCTTGCTGACAGTGACTCAGTAATACCAGTCATTGTCACCGCTTTACCATCTACATTTGTTGAAGGCTTATAATGTGCCAGACACTGCTCTAAGTTCTTTGTAGCAATATCTAAGCGAATATGCTGAACAACTGTCTGATGATATTATCATCATCCTCATTTTACCAGTGAGAACACTAAGAATTAAAACACTAAGAATTAAAACAGTAAAATAAGGTTCAGGAGCAAAATGGAATTCAAATATTAAATGGTAATATTTAGGAATGAGAGCTCCTGAAGATCATTCTACATGTTATGAATACATATTATATTCATACATATTATATATTATAGATGGTATATATTAATAACATTATGGGGATGTTCTTAATAGTGAAGGAACTGGCCTTGGTAAGTTCCTCTTAACAATTTGCTGTGATATGCGCTTGAATATAAGAATTACATGGTTTTCCCGTATACTTATCCTACCGTAAAGAAAAAAGAGAAACCTCAAACATTACTTACTGAGTGAGTCTTAAATGTCAGAGTCTTTTAATTTCCTGTAATATTTAGATTTATATTGCATATTGGATATCTTCAGAAATTATAAAAATAAGCGATTTTAGGATTGGGTTTTCTAAGAGAGTGAAAGTTAATTTTCAGTTATGGGTGAAAATCAGAGCTGGCTTACTACCTTTAAAGACCACAAGGCTGCACACCTAACTGGCTTGAAATAATGTGTCTGCATTGGTTCAGTGGATATCCTCTAGGATCCATGTAAAATTGCTGCTTTTTGGCAGTGCCTGGCTGTCTGCTCCTTCATGAATTCTCCCAGGCCTTGCTGTGTTCAAGAGTCTCATGGCCTGACTGGTCAGATACACCATGGAGACCCTCGATGAGACAGACTCCTTCGACAGGCCACAGGAAGGCTGTTGGAGTTGTCACAGTGCACATGAGCCCCATCAGTGTTCACAGGTGACAGGTGACACATGTGGGTTGAGAAAATCAAGTACACTGATCTTCAAAGATCCTCGCTAGTGACAAAATTCTCCCTTGGTAAATCAACTGCTTGGCAAAGGCTGATTGTTAGTTACAAAGGAGAAAAATCAAACAGTTTTATCAGCACATTAATTTACAAATGTTGGTTTAAATGCAGAGTATCACCAGGATGACCAACCAAATCCCAGAGGAGGCTGCAGGACATGTAGGGAGTTGGTGGCATTAGAAAAAGCTGCTGATGTGTAATAATATCAAAAACAAAGACAAAACAAAACCGGCAGGCAGCTCGGAAGACCATTGCGTTGGCGTGCCTGATGGCATGCCTGTGTGGCCTCTGCTTCTCGGAGCTTCACCTGTGAATGAAGATGGGGCCGCATGTACAGCTTTGTTTTCAGTGAAGACGGGAGGGTTTTCACAAAGCCATCCATGCCTTTAACCAAAATCCGTGATTTGAAGTGTTTCGCTACACTGCTTGTCAAGTGCATGACACACAGCAGTGTTGCAGTTGTAATTTAAGTAGAATTGTCATTAAAGTAGTCGTAAGAGAGAATAGTCTGAAAGGGGGAATTAAAGGAAGACGGGATTGTCCTAAGAGAAGGAAAAGGTACCTCATCTGAGAATGGGTTACTGCTTTTACTTAAGGAAGGGCTCACTCTGGCTGCAGACCTTCTGAAAGTGGAATCAGATTGTAGTTGAAGGAAACTAGTTTATTAAGTATGATCTCTTCTTCCCGAGGGACAGTGACTTTGAACGGAGAGATTCGCAGAAATCACTTTGTTGTCACATGCAACTATGCTTCAGTCTGCACAAAGAATATATGGGCTTCTCCAGAAACATGTGCTGAAGGCCTTGACAACTTTTTTTAATTGAAAGGAAAACAATGCCACCAATTACTGTTCTTGGAAATATACGGAGAGCCCTTGATATGGGGAGATGCAGTGGCTCATGTGCGAGGACAGGGAGATTTGAGTTTGCTAATAAAGCACTGTCATGGATCATGGTGGAGGGAAGGGGGAGAAGCTGGAGGGAGCACGGCGAGGTTGTGTTCTTCCAGAATGTGGAGAGTCAATTCCAACGCTGTTGATCCTGATGAGGCACTTAGAGTAGATGGTTGCCCTCCTAACGTGCTTTTCAGGTGGACTAGAATCCAACCCTGTCTCTCCTTTATTGCCAGAACTTTCTTCGGCTTCATTAGTCAAGGCTGTATTGCACGACTGTCTTTGGCCCTGAGTGTGCTTGAGGTGAACAAAGAGGGATTTTGTGTAAGAATGAAAATAATTTTGCCCGAATATTATATTATGAAAAATCTAAATATACAGCAAAAGTTAATGAATTTTAAAACAATATGCGTATATCTAGTATCTGGTTCTTACTATCAATGTTTTAGTGTATTTGATTTATCACATACTCGAATGTCAATCAATATGCTTATCTTTGTTAGAATTCAACATTTTCGAACTGTGGCTATACCAGTAGGTGGATGTCTAGTATTATCTCATGTGGCTTTTATTTGCGTGAAGTAGAGTTTTAGTATGTTAAAGTCTGAGTAGATGAAAAGAAATTGAAAAAAGTCTTGATCGTGAGGACAAATGGATATAGAATTATAGAAACAGCAGGCTTACTGGCCAGAGTTAAAAGCTTATTTTAATAGATAATGTATAAAAATTTACAGAGTCCAAGTTAAGAGAAAGAAAGAAAAAAAAATGTGAAGTGTCAGAATCTGCTAATAATGAAGGACATATATAAGGAAGAAATCTTAGCTAATACTAAATGCTAATGATGAAGAATTCTAGTTAAAAGAAACGAAAATGATGACGAGTTCTGGCAAAAGAATTTAAGAAGTGTACAAAATGGAAACAAAATAATGGTTATAATGTTTGACATCCTTAATATTTATACTTTTTTTTAAAGATTTATTTTTATTATTTTTTCATTGGAAAGGCGGATATACAGAGAGGAGAGGCAGAGAGAAAGATCTTCCGTCCGATGATTCACTCCCCAAGTGAGCCGCAACGGGCCGATACTATGCCAATCCGAAGCCAGGAGCCTCTTCCGGGTCTCCCACGTGGGTGCAGGTTCCCAAAGCTTTGGGCCGTCCTCGACTGCTTTCCCAGGCCACAGGCAGGGAGCTGGATGGGAAGCGGGGCTGCCGGGATTAGAACCGGCGCCCATATGGGATCCCAGGCGTGCAAGGCGAGGACCTTTAACCACTTGCGCCACTGTGCCAGGCCCTATACTTTTATTTCAATGATATTTCTATTTAATAATAGAGATTTTTGGGATTTTTCAGTTTTAATTTTATCAATAAAATTTAAGAAACATAGGTATACTTGACAACTTTTGTGTTAAAATATAGTGTTGAGTCTTGGTATGTAACATTTAAACAGCTTAAAAGAAACCATTATATTTCAGTTTCACAGGTTTCATTAGATTTTTGGGGGATTTAATATTTTAGAATAATACAATGTACTATTAAGGCATTTCCAAATTAATATTTTTAAATAGAGATAAATATAATTAGTGCCATTTTATTACCTTACTTTGCATCACTCACATTGTTTATTTATAAAATTCATTTTGTAATACCCTGCAAGATTCTTAATAACTTTAAAAATTTTAGTTTCATATAGTTTTGTTATTTTAATTGGAAAGGACATTAACTACTTAAAAATGTTTCTCTGCTTTTATTTTAGGGTCTGTGAAAGAGGTCACACAGCAAGATTTGTTTCAAGAGGCAAAAACCCTCATTGCCCAACATGAAAACATAAAGGAGGTAAACGCTCTCTATCTATGAAGTATTATTATTTTTAGAAATTAGCCATTTCATATGCTGCAACTATTATTCCAAAGGACTTGCATAAACTCTAATGTGTGATAATTTCTTAATAGAAGAAAAATTAAATCATCTTAACTTTAAAAATTAACTGCCAATGGCATTTAGACATAAGATTTTTCAGTTGTACAAATTAGTTATACACAGGTTTAGTTTGTACAATTAATACCATCCTAATGTTTTCCTTTTATGACTTATAAATATTTGAAATTATTATCTCGAGTCAGTATCCCTTTAGACATGGGTTAGATGAAGCTAAACTAGAAAATACACTCAGAAATGCTTTTCTTCTTTGCCCTTGGCCTTGCATGCTTGCTTCTGCCTTCTCCCATATCGCTTTGCATTAGCGCTGTTTGTCAGTCTGACAGCTCCTCCAGGGAAGAAACCATCTCGTTAGAATTCTCCATCTCCAGCAACAGGCATTGTGCTTGGCTCAATAAGTCTCTGCTGAATGCCTTAGAACTGGAAGGGGAAAAGAAAGAGTGAGAGGGAAAGGGTGAGAGAACAGACCATGGAGGGCCAGGACGTGGAGAGAAGTCAGTCATTTGGGAGAGGGATAAAGGGGCTATTGGACAGTCAGATAAAGGGGTAGGACCATAGGAGGGTTAACTGTGTCTCTTTGGATCCCATCCCCTTCTGAAAAACTTGAAAAATATTCGTTGTAGAAGTTTATATAAATATTTTTAGTATATTTCAGTGATTCTTGGGTGGAGAGAAGATTGTGATTTTTTTTTAAGAACCTGATATATTTTTTTCTTTTTATTTTACTTTATTTATTTATTTACTTGATAATCTTACTGACTCAGGGTACAAAGGGTGAAGGGATACAGGAAAGTGGGTAATACCATTGTTTTCACACTAATATCATTTTTCCCTTGTATCTGGGGTCAGGGGAGAAATAAAGGGAAAAGACCCATCCAGCCTCCCTCCCATCCCAGGTCCCCAATATGAGGTGCACTCCGAGGATCCTGCTTAAGCAGTTTTGATAGTTCAACAGTTCTGAATTGCAGCCAATCTCACCATTCCAATCACAATGAAATCTATTCAGAATCTACTGGCTGACGTAGTCTCTTCATGGTTGAGGTTCTGATCTCAGCAGTTAAGTTGGAGCCTAGTTCAACCCAACCAACTCTACTATCCAGCCCACACACATACTGGCGGGTGCTGTTCTGTCTAGCCATCCCTGCCCCTGTCCTGGTTTTCATTCTCTCCAGTGGGAGCGGTAACCCAAGAGGGAGGTGATTTTCTTTATGTTTCTTTTGAATGATTACCAACCAACATGGTTGATGTTAATGTAATCAGCATTGTTAACATTGCTTAAGTAACTTATTCCTAACATTTGAAACAATTTTCAGTAGTCATACAGAGTGAAAGCCTGAGTTATTTTGAAGCAACCTGTTTTAATAAGTTTACAATAGTCACAGCCAAATAGTACATTTTAGAGTGTGGCAAAAAGTAATAATAACGTATGAAAGTTTCTTATTTGCATCTTGAAATAGCATAGTTTAAATTGTTCTAAGCCATTGTTTGTTAGGAGGAAGAGCTGTAACTCTAAAGAAGAATTATAAAGACTGTCATTGAGGCATAGTAGGTAAAACTATCACCTGTGATGCAAGATCCCAGGTAGACACTAGTTCATGCTTCACTTCTAATCTTCCTTCTGCTACTAGACGAGGAAAATCAAGGAAGGATGACCTGCTAGCCAGGTGGGAGACCTGGATGAAGCACCTAGCTATTGCCTGGCCCAGTTCTGACCATTGTAGCCATCTGGGGAGGGACCTAGTACATGGAAGATTTCTTTCTGTGTCACATCCTTTTATTTCTGTCTCTTCCTACTTCTTTTTTGCTTGCTTGTTTTTTGTTTTTTAATTCGTTATTAGCATTTTATGATATAGTTCCATAGGCCTTGGGATTTTCCTTACCCCCACCATATTCCCCTATATTATTGCTACAGTATAGTTTCTCATAAACAGCCATATGTCCATCATTGTGGGCATGGACAATGGCAGAGACTCCAGCATCCTATTGTCAAGATGTAGCAAATAATTTCATTGGGAGTCCATCTTTGTCTGGAAGTAGAGATGCATACTGCATTGTATCCTCACATTTGAATATGATAGTCTCCATTATACAGTTACTATACATTCCCTTAAATGAAAAGCCACAGGACAAAATCAACAACAGGAAGAAAAATAGAAATTTACAGAGCCATGAAAAATATGGAACCCTTCACGAATTTGCATGTTATCCTTCCACAGGGGCCATGCTAATCCTCTCTGTATCACTTAAATTTTAATATATATGCTGTCAAAGCAGGTTCTCTTCCTACTTATTTTAACTGGCTTTAAAAACAAAAACAAAAACCAAAAAGAAAAATTATCATTGTGTAGATAAAATTGCCCTTCAAAGACCTAGAGCAATCTTATTTTGTGATTTCTTGTGCTAGACAGAATTAAGAAGCAAATAAATGATTGGAATAACCTGAAATATGTATCCTATTTTTCATATGCATTTTTTGAGAGTTCACTTTCTATATGTTCAATGATTTCCAGCTCAACCAAGAAATACATTTGGAGATGTTAACATTTTGTGAACATTTGAAAGTTATGCAATGATGATTGAAAAGAAACTTTTAAAATTTTATTTGTTTGAAAGGCAGAGTGAGATGGAGAAATGGAGAGAAAAAGAGATAGCACTTCTTTCTTCTGGTTCACACTCCCAAATGGTCAACACAGTCAAGACAGGAGCCAGGCCCAAGCAAGGAACCTGGAACTCTGTCTTGGTCTCCCAGAGGGGTAACTGGGGCCTGTGCATTGCAAAAACCTTCCACTACTTTCCAAGACATGCTACTAGGGAACTGAGGGGAAAACAGCATGCCCTGGACGTGAAGAGCTGCAGTGGTGTAGCATTCTGACACCACAGGCAGGTGCTGAATTTTCTGGGTCATAACCCAGGCCTCTAAAATGGTTAAATTCATGTATGTATACTTGAAACTCTGCTTTTAAATAGACTTTAAAACCTGTATTTAATGTATCATAGTTGAAAAGGAAGTTACCTCTTTATGTTCTACACCGTTTCATAATAAAATACAACCTTGATTCTTGTGAAGACTTATTGGAGTACTTCATGATATAATATCATGTTTAACTGATTATTAGAATGTTCTTTCTAGTGATATCTTACACAGTAATGCATTTTATGAAATGCATTTACTGGAGCTAGAATTTTATTATTAATTTATTATAGAATTGTATACTAAAATTTGGTTTAAAATGTAATTTTATTTACAGAATAAAGCTCATGGAACTTCTATAAATGTTTTCACAAATAAACACCAAAGACCAAAATCTGTCAAATTCATACCTTTGGAGGCTAAAAAGGGGGAAATATTTGATGTTGTTCATGTGCATCAAGCAGCACTCAGAAATATTTGTCCCAAGGAGTCTCCTAAATATGAACAAGTTCAAGAGCCCTCAGAACAAACTTGCTTCAAGAAATTTCAACTTTTTAGTACAAAAGAAAAATATGAGCCTATAGATCTCATTGCAAAAGGTGAGTTTCTTTGGAGGGCAAGAGGTTGTGAGAAGGCAGAGACAAGGAAACAGAACCGATTGGCCCTGCAGTGATTGCTTCTCAGTGGATTCACAGAGTTGCTGACTTCTGGGACCCACCAGGAGTTGAGAAGAAAATATCCAACTAGGTATTAAATTGGCTGGCTGGTGTCTTCAGCTTTCCAGCTGTGCTAGTCCTTCTAATACAAATCCTCGGAGACTTTATTGTGCTACTGCCAACACAATCTTGAGTTTGTACACTGAATTCTCTTGCTGAGCAAAATAGGTAAAGCACGCAACTTGTTTTTGAGTATGTTTTGGGGAGCTATAGAGTTTCGCCCCTTTGGGTTGTTTAATCTGAAAAGACACAGACATTTATACACGTTTATACCTTCTACTCATTGTTTTCTTCCAAATCTCTCCCACAGCCAGCAATAGGCCAGGGCAAAGGTAGGAATCTGAAACCCAGGCTAGGTCTTCCTCATGAGTGGTGGGGACTCAGTTGCTTCAGCCATCTCCTGTTGTCTAGGGTGTACATGGCCAGAAAGCTGGACTTCAAACCCAGGTACTCCTGCATGAGATGCAGTGGCCCAAGTGGTATTTCAATTGTGTGAAAATCCTGCCCTCAGATTTTATCCCCACAAAGGTGTTCTTTGTACCTGGAGTTTGGTAAAGTGAGACTAAAGGTTCATTTAAACAGAGTGATGCATTTCCCTGGCACTGATGACACGAATAAATGGCCTCTTCTGATACATTGGTTGTTACAACTTTTATGGCCTCCTCTTCACATTTTCCTAATGTTATTTCTAAATTTATTAATTTACTGATTTGTCTTTTTAAAACTTAAATAACGAAGAGTGCCTGTTCTCTGCTAGCAGTATGTTAGGAACTTGAAAAGAAAAACAAAAAGAAAAACTAAACTAAAACACTTTGACACTCATGGTGAGAGTAGCACGGGGTGGCATCCTGCCATATGTGTGACTATGCTGTGGTAGAATATAGGCAAAGCACTATAGAAACACTGAAAAGCAGCCAATCATGGGCTGCAATGAAAATTTATCAAAGGAATCTCATGACAAATTTGTTTTAAGGAGAACATTCTTAGGAGTAGGGTGAGAATAGGAAAGGCCATTTTTCTGTTAGAAAAACAAAACTGGCGGAGAAGTCTAGTGAAAGAATGGTAGCCAAGAACTTACCAAGGAGGCTGTGTGACAACGAGCTGGCCCAGGTAGGAGATGGAAGGGCTCCAGATAAGCAGATGTTGAGAAAGATATTAAAGCTTCTATCTGGCCTTAAAAAATGGACAGACAACATTAAATTGAAATGGGTTACAGGTGGTGTCATGGTTTAGTCCTCTTGCTGTTACAGAATCTCTTGAGATTGAGTAAGGATTCACAACAGAAATTCCTGCTCATATTTATGGATGCTAGAATTCCAAGATGAAGTTATCAGCAGGTTTGGGGTCTCGTGAGGGTCTGGTCTCTGCCTCCAAGATGGCAGCCTGAGCACAGTGTCTTTCAGAAGGCAGGACAGCTGCGTTCTCACCCAGTGCAGAGACAAAGGGGAAGAAGTGCCTCCTTGGGGGCCTCTTTGGACAGGACCTCAATCTCATTTATGAGAATTCTGCCCTTATGGCTTAATCATTTTCCTAGAGACCTGCCCCTTTAATGTTGTCATATTGAGTCTGCCGTAAATTTTGGAAGACACAAACATGCGAACCATAGTAGGATCACAAGCAGCTTTTGGGTTCAGATGGGGGAAAGGGAAGGTAAAGAATGGAGTTTTAGAGGTAGTTAAATAGGTCTGTATATGGAGATGACCATTAAGCAGAGTTGGAAAGGAGTTCTGGTACTTAAACGAGAGGAAGGCCAGGACTCAAGATAGATATGTATCATACTGAAATACTGAGGGTCATGTATTTTTTTCAGTGAATACTCATACTTATTTTCTTAAGTGTAACGAGTTAAAACATGCCTCTGCTCTCAGAGGGTTCAGATTTGATGTATGTAATATGTATGCTTCGGATGAGGAAGACAAACATACATTTATGACGTAGTATGACTGATACTGTAATAGAAGCAAATTCTACTTTTTAAAAATTAGCAAAAATCCAATTCAGATTTATGACTCAGATGGATTCCTAGAAAACTTAAAATACTTGATAAAATTTGAAGGATGTGTAAGCAGTAAGCAGAAAGGGAAAGCTTACCTAGTTGACAGTTTGATCTCAATCTGGCAAGGTGTATCTAAGAGAATAATTGTGGTGTATTCATGGCAAAAAAAAGACTATAAGGGGAGTTATTTAAAAAACTAGTTTGAACAACATTTGGTTTCACCTGCAAATGTGTAAACTTTCAAAAGTCTCAGTAATCACATTTGCATTTTAAAATGTTTACTGGTAAAAAAAGATGGAGTGTCGTGTGTTTTGGAGTCATAGAGACTGATAAAGAGATGATAATTCACGTGAGAAGGAATGAGAAATGAAGGCCGCACAGTGGCACTGGGGATAGAACTGAAGGGAGAGATTAGATAGATATTAAAGAGGTATAGTTATATAAACTTAACAAAGTAGAGCAGGAGACACAGGGGAGAGTCATGTCCTTGGCTTTCCTGTGAGTGCCAACAAAGGAAGCACAGACAGAAGCGTTCAGAATTGAAGGTGTGCTTACATAATGATGAAAACTGTCATCTTCACTAAGTTGGAACGTAGACCAGACCAGCATCTAGTGAGATTTAGAGTATGTATATTATATATTACATATACATAAGCAGTATATCATATATAAAATATATATGACATATGATATGTCATATAGTATGTATAGTATAGACATAAAGTATGTCCCTGAAAAGTTACAAAAAGAAGTACACTTCTTCCTGGCCTCCCATGCAGGTGCAGGGTCCCAAGGCTTTTGGCAGTACTGTGCTACTTTCCCAGGTTACACACAGGGAGCTGGACGGGATTGGAGCAGCTAGGACTTGAATCAGCGCCCATGTGGGATCCTAGTACTTGCAAGGCAAGAGTTAAGCCATTAAGCCATCACACCAGTCCCATCTCGTGTCACCTTTAAAATCGTTTTTCATGTCTCATAACCTTGTGGGTCTATAACAGATTTGGCACAGTGGACTATGTTGGGAAGTAATACAGAAATATGAAAACATCTGTGTTTTCCTTTCAGGCTGATTTCCCACATGAGAGAGTAATAATAATGGTGTCAGTATATGTTGATTGAAAAACATTTATTCAGGTAGTTTGTAAATCTATGAAGTTCATGATAGAGAATACAAGGCTAGAACAAATGGATTGAATTGTGTAATCCCAAACTGTAGTCTTGCTAGGGATGCAGATGTCAATTAAATAATCATATACACGCATACACAAAGGACTAGGAGATCAGCAAATAGTTTCTGGAGGAAATGCTATTTGGACAAAGATATAAAAAGGTGAGTGAGAGTTACTCAGACAAGGAATGTGAAGTTTTAGGTAATGGGAAAACTGTTAACAATGACTCAGGAAGGGGGAATATAGAGAATTTTTTCAAAGAAGTGAAAAATGAACTGTTGTGGCTGTTGTTCTGAGAACAGGCTAGAGAGAAATGGGGTGATGCTGTGTAAAGGCAGAGTAGGCAATAGTGTGCTAATAAATGGGAACTATGGATCAAGAAATTAGGAAGCTCTCATTTCCGGCTCTCACTGATTGCCATAGCACACATTGTTTTCACATTGCCAATTCCAACCCACCAATGTGATACCACTGATTGTAGGCATTCAGAAGAGATGTTGGTTGCACAGTCAGTTCGCCTGAGACTGACTGCAGATGCATTGCTGCATCCTGACCGTTGGTTAAACATCATTCCTGCACGCTGGAAAACTCCTTGTCTCGTTGCATATTCCAGCCTGTGCTTGCTTCTGATTTCTGCTACAACCTTCCCTGAACTTGCTCTGGTTTGAGACCTACAGGACTGGGTTCGGCACTGACGGATGAAAGGGAGGGATGACAGCTACTGGAGAAATCTTTTTTTTTTCTTTTTCCTCTGAGTAGAAGGTTCTCAGTAACAGTCTATCAGCTTCTCAGAAGATTCCATGCAGTGAAATAACCAGGGTCATGCATTGATGGTCAGCTCAAAAAGGATTCTTACATGAGCTCTTCCTTATTGCCTGGGCCTTTATTCCTGTTCCCTAGGGTCACCTCCTTAAATGCTCCTTTAACAAGATTCTAGTGGCAGAACTGTCAGTAGTTGCTGAAAGATCAGGTGTACTGCGCGACAGATAGGGAGAACCATAAAACATTCTTGGCTTTGGTCCCAATGAGCTGGAAAATGTTAATTGAAACTCTGAGATGTGGAGGAAAGGGAGATGCATCTTTGAATGAACAGAAGTCAGGAGTTGAAACTTTGACATGGTAGCTTTGAAGTTCATATGAGACATAAATTTAATGTCACATAGATTATCTACCATATAAAGTGGATTCAGGAAGTGTTGGAGCCATTAAAGAGTAGGTCACAAATATTGTAATAAAAAAATTCCACAGTGCCCATGTCTTAAAAGCAACAGTTAAAATTAATTTTGGTAATATAGTCACATTTTCAGTGTATCTAGAATATTTCAGTAGCTAGTTTAAAAATTGAGATATTTTGTATTTCTTTCATAAAAAAAATATGTCTCCTCAAAAACATTAAGTTGAGGACTCAATCCTCAATATAGTAGTGTTAAGAGTTGGAATGTTTGAAAGGCCATTAGATGATGAGAACTATGCTCTCAATGGACTAATGTCAATTATAAAATGATAATCATTTTCTGAGAGGCTGTGACCTGAAAAGATGATTTCCTATGAATCAACGAACTTGCATTGTTTTTTTCAAAGATAAGATTCGGGAGTTCGATCTCCTGCACATATGACCACTTGTCCTATCTCCTTCCACCTGGCCACATGATGACAGAGTGCCAAGGCCCTCACAGGTGCATGTCTTACAACCCTTGACTGCCCAGCTTCCATATGAA